GAAAAATGTACACGTGGTTTTCTCTGCAGCTCTGTCCATACATGGTGTCCTGTTAATGGCTAATAAATTGAACTCTAGATTAGATCCTCCCAGACTATGTCTTCAGCATATTTGGCAATAGACTTCACAAGGAAGGTTGCCTCCGACATGCAAGATTTCTTGGTCTAATGCATTACTCTGTAACCTCCTGCTCTGATCAAATAAAATGTGTGTTTTATTTTATGGGGAATGGTGGGCAGGTGTTGCATGTGTGGTTACAGCATAATCCAGGTGATAAAACATATCAGTGTTGGTTAAATGTGTTGCTGGTTTATTTTTTTGCTTTCTTACAGTGGGGCAGAACAGAGCTAGGAGAAAGAAAAAAAAAAAGTTGGGGGTGCACAGAAGGGAAGAACAGCCATTCAGGTTTGGGTTCATGATCTTCTTTTAAGTCCTGATGAAATGAGGAAGCAAGGGGTAACGAAGGATGATGATAGGAGGGAAGAGATCTGTGGGTTCCTCATTAATCTACCTTTTATTCCTTGCCACCGCTGTACTCCCACCATCTTGACTGCACTGGGGGTCCTAAAAGAAGGTTTATATGGTAACAGGTGCTCAGCCTCTGTCATATCCCTTCTTACCCACAGGATCTCAGGAAGACCTCTGCTGTAGCTCCTTCTTCCTCTTCCCCTTTTTCTCTTCTGTTTTTGACAAACACAGCAAAGAAGTGGTGTGCAAGGCAGGTGACCCTTCTGCTGGGACATCTAGGCTGGCATTTCAACCAAGAGTGGAAGGCATCTAGTACTACTGAGTGCAACTCTCTTCTAGTTCTTCCTTTCCCAAATAAGAGTGAAACTCCTCATCAGTTCAGTGAGACCCAGATATTGGCAGTGCTAAGAGCATTTCAATGCCTCCCCTCTGCAGGCCATGGGTTCTTGCCATCATCTTGCTGTGATTGTGCCATGTCATCATCTCTGAGAGGAGATAGCACATTTCCTTCTAAAGTCTGCATTTAATCTTTTTATGAAAAGTATACTTTTTTCATTCATTTAACTATGTTCTCTGATAGGAGCTCTTCAGGAGTCTTATTTTTTAATCACTGCTTTGCTCCAAGGACAGGAGAAGTTTAAATGAATGAATGCTCTACTGTTCCTAGATGTCTCCATGCCGTCTCCTCTGAAGCAAAAGCAGTGGGTCTGAGTCATCCTTGCAGTATTCCAATTTCATGCTGAAATCAATGGGGCCACACAAGACAAAAAAACTAATGCAGCAGTGAATTAGCAAAAACTTAGGGTCTGTAGCATTCATCTCTGCAGTGCTCCATAGATGACATTGCTGGTTAAACTATGGGTGCCATTGCTACCTTAAATTAGTTTTCAGAGGGATAACTTCCTCATTATTTCCTTGGGATAGCAAGAAAGTGGAAGATTAAAGTTGTAATATTGTCCTTATTTAGTTTTAATCTTTCTTTCCTGTGTTTTATTATCTGAGACACTGGATTTTTCCCTGAGAGCTGTGATCCTTTGACACATCTATTCAATATTACCATTTATTTGTTTAGGCCAAGATACCTGATCTTACTATGTTAGATGTTACAGCAAAGTTCTTGCAGGCTCAGGGAGTTTGTGAAATGAAAATTCCTCTCCTGTTAAAAGAATTCTTCTTTTCTTGGAAGAAATGTCAGGAACACCTTTGTTTTGTAAGTACCTTATTTTTAGCAATGCCTGTTGAAACCTGTATAATGGTTTCATATTCTGAATATTGTTTTTTCTTTCTGCAAAGGTTGAGGGAGTTGTCAGGACTTATCACATTGACAGAAGGTTTTAAAAGTATAAAGGGTGATGAGAAGGGCTCACTGTAACTCCTAACAGCATATAAAAATGAGTAATGTTCAGCTTAACAGTTTTGATGCTGTTTCCATTAGCATCATCTATGAAAGCCTCAGCAACTCTCTGCCCTGCCAGTTAGTCCTCTCATCTACCCCAACTCACTATTAATTTGTCTTCTTGGATTGTCGTGGCCTCAGCCTCGATCTCCAGCATTATCCACAGTATCCTGACTTCTGGGAAAATGGGGAGAAGGCAAAGAAAAAAATATTATAACCTAGCCTGAAAGTGTGGGGAAACTGTTTGAGTTCTCTGTGCAATGCTCCTGCCATGCGGAGAAACGTGATTATTTAGGAGCTTATGTACAGACTGTGCTCATTCAAAGATGCTCACACATTCATCCCAAGGCATGCATTGATCTAAATTTCTGCCTCTGAACATGACATGATGTAAAAGTTAGTGCAATATATTTGGCAAATGCAGCCAAATACCACTTGATGAATCACCAGTGCAATCCACCAGTACCACAAGCTTATAGCAAAAGTCACTGGTGATAATTTTTTCCCAAATGGCACAAAAATTATGAGCGTGATGTTCATAATGTCTCTAAGTAAGCGGTTTTAATACTGGTCAATATGAAAACAAATGCAAGCAGTTTCTGGTTAAATCTCTGCAGTAAATCCTCTGATTACAAAGTATATGACTGATAAAATGGATCACAGGGTGTGAGTAGATGGCACAGAGCATACTGTCCTCATTGTTTAGCTTGAGAGAGACACAGAAAAGTTACTTGAGTTAGAAACTGAGTGAAGCAATCAGCTAAAGAGCTGGGAACAACAGCATTATGTGCTGTCAAACTAAATCTAACCTGCTGAAAATATGAGCAGGGCAAGCAGTGAATTTGCCTGTCACTTCAGTGCCCTTACTGATGATAAGACACTACTGAAACCATTTATCTTATTGAACACATATATATTTAAAATATGAGCACTATCCAAGCCTTTAAATGAGGACAAGCTCTAAAGGAAACCCAGATATTACACTGAGAAATGTTAAGAAAATTCAGTTGGTATAGCACAAATATTTAGAGTTGAGCTTTCTATACCTAGGTACACACATTAACAGTGACATCAGGCAACGTGTAACCTAAAGCTTCATACTGTATGTTAGTATGATCTTTTGTAGTAGAAAGTATATAGATATAATCACTCTCCCTGAGTATTAGAAATGAATGATTTTAAACATGAGATTAAAGTTTTGGATTTATATGTTCTTTTCTTTTCTTTTTTTTTTTCTTTGAGGAGGCCTAGTTGTGGTTTGGTTTTGTTTGGGTTTTCTTTTTCTTTTTTTATTTATTTTTAAAATACAGCTGTTGTTACCAATACTCTGAAACTTGAAAAGGGAAAATGACCTGAAACAATGGAGTACAACCCGACTGTTTTCATTTTTGAGTCAAGCAAGAAACAAATTTTAATTGACTGTAAGTTACCTAGATTTTTTAAAACCTCTTCATTTGTATAATGCATTTGTTGTTGACACTCATTATGAAGTTTTGTCATAACACATACATTTTACTCTTTTGACTTGAGAGCTCCTTTTAAGTCTTCAGTTTCAATTTGGCCATCTTCACGTCTGTGTTGAGGAAAGAACACAATGGTGAAAACAGGCTTTGCAAAACCTATCAATCTTGGGTTTCTGCCCAATGATACAATAGAGGACTTGGCTATATAAATGTGTATGTTCTTGAAACATCAGAGGTGAAGAGAAATGGAAATCAGCTCTATTATGCCAGTCAGTATGTGTAGGCTATGTCTAATTCAACTGGCAGTTCTGAAGGCGGCTTCATACACAGGAGCTATCAATGTTCAGCCTCTTGAATTTTGCAGTAAATTGAATTTGATGGGTTGGTAATCTCATCTGCTTTGCTAAACTGGCACCCTTCTAGACACACCTTTGACCTAATGTGTGCCTGATCTGTCAACAATGGAGTTACCTCTGTACTTGGCATAAATAGAGTAGATGGAGAGATGGAGTAAATGGCATAGACTGAGGCTGCTATGGCAGTCCTTTGGTGTTTTGTTCCTGCCTGAATAGAAGGTTCAAGAAACATCATAATTTCCTACAGAACATGTCCAACAGAAGGCTGTTGTTTTCACATTGATTTTTCTTATGGATCTGGTGTCAGTATTCACATAAAGTATTTATTCTATTTGTGTGCAGATGGTAGGGGGCACTGCTTTTAAGACAAGAAGAAAAAGTGGTCAACGAACAGAGGGGGTTTTAAGATTTCCATTCTCTCCCCCCAGCTCCCCAAAGAAAGGAATCTTCATTTTTGTTATATTTTCTTTAAAAAAAAATCAGACTTTTTAAAACTAAAAATTTTCTTTCTTTTTTTCCCCTCCTGGTATCTCTTAAAGATTAATAGAATATTGGAAGATGGAGGCTTTCAAGTGTTTTAAGGCTAAGACTACATTCACTGAAGTCACTGAGAGCTTCATGACTAATTTTAGTAAGGAGGGGGAAGGTGAGCAATCCTTGCCAGCTGACATCAGACAGGGAGCTGAGTACCTCCACGATTGCTCATCTGTTGACAGTTTGAAAGTATTTTGCTATCTTTAAATAGATCACATAAAAGGTCCCTTCTAGACGTGCTTCTGAAAACAGGGGAAACTTACAATAAGTTTTCTTGGCTATTCTTGTTTTGCTTCTTTTCTTCTTTGCTTGGAAATACCACCCACCAATTTCTTGACTGTTCTCCATCCTGTTCCATTTCCATCCCCACCCTTTACTCACATAGCTATGTATGACTACAGGTCATACATAGGACGACAGGTCCAACTACATAGGATCCTCTGTGATCCACCTCTCCAAACCACAGAAATGCTGAGTGGAAGGGACTTGTCAAGGTTATCCAGTCTAATCTCTCAATCTCTCCTTAAACAATATTTGCACAAGAAATTTAGGAGCATCAATCTTCTTTGCCAAGTGATACCATCTGATGAAAAATTTAGGACACCTGAAGCTACATGATCACTTCAGTCTGAACCCTATTCCTCTTCCTCATCTCCTCTGCTTATCTATCACTATGGTAGGCTGCCTAGCTTTTCAGTTGGTCACTTCTAGTTTTGTTCTCTCCCACTGGTCCTTCTCACTCCACACTGAGTTGTCTAACTTTTTGTCACTTTGAAAGACTTAATTCCTCCTGTCTGTGTCCTCTACAAGTTAGTAGGTTCTTTTGGATTTATGCAGAGTTAGTTTGGGGTTTTTTTTTCATCCAAAAAAAATGGGCACAAGACTGTTGGGCACACCTGGAAGAAAAGGATAATCAAGCACCACAGAAGGTAGGAAGCAGTGGTTTGATTTCCTTAATGCTGGAGCACTCTACAAGAAAAAATCACCTCTCAAATCATTTGAGTTCATCTAGCAGCATATACCAAGATAGCTGCTTCACTGCCTAATGATTAAGGCCATTAAAATAGAGTAAGAAAGCTTTCTTGTTCTTTCTACCCATTTCAGACAAGAGTACAGCCATTCCATGAGTTTTCCTTGGCTTGAAATGGCTGCCCCTCCCATCTGATAAGACAGAAGAAACCAGGGCATGTTGGAAGCAGAGTACCACCAGAATAAATGCTCTTGCAGCAGCTAATGCTGCAACTGAGTTATTGATGCTGGAGTGTTGAAGCATGGACTTCAAGGTACAGCAAACATGGCGAAAAGTGAAGAGGGAAAGGTGTGCTGAGATGGTAGGCTTGGGGAAAGAAGCCAAAGTAAAAATGATTCTGCCAAGGAGCTGTGTGCTGCTGTGCTTCCAAACAAAACATAATGGCTAAGACAGCAGCAGAGTCATTCATTAGAATGACTGTTTTAGCTTTTCAGACAATTAGCCTGATAATTATGCCACTTATTTATTATAATAGCATACAGTTAATGGATGTTATACAAGAGAATTAATGACTCTAAATTATTTTAGAAATACCCTGAATGCAGTCTTTTTAAATAATAATGCAGAACATTTCCATAGGATGTTTAAATAAGTTGCAGATTGCCATGTCAGGGCATCCTGCTATCAAGGCATGCTGACCTCTGTTCAAAAGCCATACTTGCTTCTCAGAAAGTCAAATGTCCATTAAGGAATAATATTGCTTGCCACAGGGCTGGGAGCAGGAGCCCGAGGCTGCTGTGTGCGTTACCAAAGCAGAGATACTTTTCAGCTCAGTAACAAGTAGTGTATATCGGTTAAGGCTTTGCTAGCGCTTTTCTTCCATCAAAACCAGGGCAATACATTGTCTGCCTCAGCCTTGGCTTGGTTTGTGTACTGCCTCTTTGTCAGATAGAGGTGGTGCCTTTGCGTATGGGCTGTGGCAGGTCTATTTATGATCTGCTCAGCACTCCCTGTCAGAAGCAGTTAAGATACCTTCACCCAAGGAAGTGCTACTTGTTATTCTTTTGTTTAAAGAAAAAACAAACAAACAAACAAACAAAAAAAGGTCATTTGGACTGAAAATGCCTCTTTTCCTAGCCAAAGTGGGGGAGGGTTCTAAACAACTGCCTGCTGAAGCAGCACATCAGAGCAGAGAAGGATCAGAAGCTGGAAACTGCCACAGCACAGATGATGATGACTGAGTTTGCATGGATAAATCAAGCAGCATAGTTTTCCAACCCTTAGCCAATGTTTCAGCTGGCTGATCCAAGGATCCGTTTAGTGCAGTGCAACAGTGTGACCTTGCCTTATTTCACTAATTGTCATTAAGATGTGAGAACGCCCATGAGTTAAAGTACTTGCAAATGAGAGAAAGGGATTGTCAGGTCCAAGAATTCAACAGGAGAAATACAGCCTTGACAAAGGTGTAAAGATCTAAGGAAGAAAAAAGAATAAGCAGGGAAGAAGATGGCAATTTGGGGATGTCGAGCATCAGCCTGTTCTCATGTAGAAAAACAGACAATGGCTGCCCCACCCACTGTGCTAGAAGGGATGTAGGGGCTGCCTTGTTGGGGTAGTGAATGTGCTTTTCTTAGCCAATGTCGGACAACCAGCAGCAAAGGTTGCTTCATTCCCCTACCCCAGTGTCCCACCTGCACCATTTTTATATTGCAATCAGATTAGTTCCCATGCCCAACTCCCTGTTCACGCCAATAGCGCAGAGACAAAAGAGCCCAGCAGTGGCTGCTTAGTGCCACACTGTTGTTTTCAGATGCCTCCAGCCTGCGTTGAGGCTGCAAACCCACAGTAGCTTCACAGGGCTGACGTTGCTCTCAGCAGGGACACAGCTTTGGCATGGTGGTTGTACAGCCTCTGTGTCCCAGCCAAGACCAGGGCTGGGATATGTGAATCCTAACTACAACAGCTATGCTATTATTGAAGCTGTGCATGCCAGCCAACAATGAGTTGTTTGCACTGATTTGCAGGGAGCACCCTGGCTGCTGGCCAGTTGTATGCCTAAAGCTGCAATATTCAATATCTCCGTTTATATCAAAGGGGCAGGATGGTGTGTACCTTTATGTGTGTCTTGGGTTTGTGACACTGTGCTGTATTTTTAAAGAATGGCAAGCTGTTCTGTTCTACAAAGCAGCACCCACTGAATGAGACGAAATAGCCAGGTACTTAAGTGTGTATTCTTGCATAATGGTGGCTAACCTATAAGGGAATGAAAACTATGAACCTGACAAATCCAATAAAATAAAGATAATTATGCCTTCTGTACCAGGTATTCTGACAACACGAACAATATGTGTTCAGGAAGAATAAAGCTTCATTGAAACAACAGGGGAAGTAATGGCACCTAGTATTCATGGGGCTGTAACAAAATGTTGTTTACAGATCTCCACTGCTTGTGAAATTATCTGTACTGATGAAACTGGATGTACTCTAAAGCAAAGATTGAAGGAGCATAAAACATGTAATATTGTAGTTACAAAGCACATAAAATCTTATTGGATCTGTGATAAATATTTGTGCCTGAGCAATTTTACTATTTTACAAACTACTTTCTCTGGGGAATGGTTAAAGTATACAAGGACACCCTATTTATCAGCCTTAAAGTCTAGTAGCTCCCAAGACCTATGAAGAGGATGTAATGTACCTGTTCTCAAAAGTGTCTAATTAATTGTTAAGTCTTGTATTGAAAATATCCTTTTTTTTTTTAAATTTAAAGCTGCTATCAGTAGAGAGATGTATCATCTCTTGGGCTGCATAAAGGTAGAATAGGTCTCTGAAATTATGTTGTTTTGGAATTGAAGCCATATATTACAAAAAACTCCCCATGAGGAAGAGGGAGCCCATAGTGCAGAGTTTAATGGAAAAACAGATACTGCATTCAGCTGCAGTACAACACTTTAGGAAGTTGAATGTGAGGCTTGGAAGAGGCTGTGCTGCACATTTAAAAAGTGTTTACCTAAACATGCAGGCATGTACTTTTGCAAGATTTGGTAATGGGGAAGGAGGGCTTTTGAAGACAGAGATGAAACTCCCTGAGTGGCAATGAAATCTTTTCTCCAATTGTGTATTTTAAACTCCATAAAGATCTAACCTGGACAAGTAATTTTATTTGTTTTTCTTTTTTTAACCTGGATTTTTTTATGCATTTACATAGATGAGTTTTAGGTATTTGTCTGTGTCCTTTTTGGGCTATTCCTGGGTTTAGCGTTTTTTCCCTTTCTTCAGAAGTCACCACCTTTCCTCTTGTATAGAAGGAATTTACAATGCTAAAATTAAATCCTCTCTTTCCCTACATCCTCTGTTTTCTCTTTTCCTAGATCACTTGCTTTCTTTTCAAAATCTCAAGCTTGCTCCTATGTCAGCTCTCCAAAGGAAGAGCTTGCCTTCTCCTTTTTCTAATAGCATCTTATCTCTCAACTTGCTTTTTGTTCACTAACCAACGTGGAGGTTAATCCCTTGTTCTTGGAAACAAGCATTTCAATCATTCTTCATAGAGGTGCCTGCTAATTACCTTTCAGGTCAAACAGTCTCAGGATATAGTTTGCATGGTGCTCGCATTGAGAATATAGTTTGCATAATGTTCACATTGAATCATCAGTGTGGTTTCTGGAGAATTCATTTAGAAAGCAGAAGAGGCTGCTGAGTCTCCACATCTGATCTGCCACAATTATACTGGGGAGGGCAAACACCTCTCAGCCTGGTGCAAATCTCTATACTTCTGAATACCTGGCTGACAGTATGTAAAAAACATGGAATAATGAGTTCAAATGGTGTCTGTCATCATGCAGCAGCAGTGCAGGAGGTCTGGTGTAGGGCTGGAGCTGTGTGGTACAAGGAGTTATCAGTGTTGCCTCTCTGAGCAAGGTAAGTGTTCTATCCACCTTTTTGTGGAGGGAGGAGGGAGGTAATATTGTAAGGAACTGATATAGCTGCATGGTTTCATGTTGGATTGTGGCAAGAACAGCAGTACTTAGGGGAAGGTGCTTTTGTTTTGGAAGCAAATTCAGCTAAAAAGCTACCCAGTAACCTCAGAGTAGCCTCTTGAATTTGGGGCATGCAGGGAATTCAAGGACTTCATAGCCTTTGGCTCACTTAGACTTTTGTCAGATGAAAATATCTTCTCAAGGTAACAGTCAGCAATCAAACATCTACAAGAGCAGGGGTGCAGTAGGGAGAGGCAGGCTGCCATGGGTCATTTGCAGAGCAGTTCCATATAATGTATGTTTGTTTATTGCCACCTAAACACTATTGCATGCATCTCTGGGGCTGTTTGGGGGTTAGAGCAGAATATTCTGTATTATGGAGTAAGTGTCTCCACATTAAGTTTTTCATAACGCTGAAACTGGGCAATGTAGCAAGTGGGTTAAAGTAACCTTAGCCAAAATGATCAAAGGTAGACAGCTCTTTTGACTAGGTTGCTCTTCAGAGTCATTGATGGGCACAGCCTCACCAAGGCAGTTTTACCCATTAGCTGGAGCTAGGTGATTTGGACATGTTTAAATGCCAGGGCAGGAAGCTCAGTGCTGTGCAGCTGTAAATAATTTCATAGTATCCCATCTGTTTAAGCATCCTTAGCTGGCTGATCACTTTCTATTAGTTATGTGGTCAGAGCTGAGATTAAACTAAAGTCTTGCAATCCACTTGGGCAGCTTTCACAGACACATGATCTTACAAGCAATTTGGCCACCAGGCCACTATAGGCAGCTCACAGAGGTATTCAATTACCAGCCCTCTCACCCATTTCATTTCTGGAACAGTGATGTAAACAAAGGTGTCCGTAGGTGAAGCTGAAAATCTGGATTGAATTATCAAACCTGCAGCACATCACATGGGTTTTATTTTTGTGTTGTACATCTTAGTTCTGAGCCAAAACTGGATATTGATTATTTCTTGACTGGTATTGAAACACCTCTGGGAAAATCCTTGCCTCTAACTGCTCTCAACAGACATTTAAGCTAACAATTTTGCTGCTATCTTCATAACAAGAAAAAAGTAGCCAGAACGGTAAACAGGAGATGTTTAGCCACATCCAACAGCAGTCATCACTCCCAGCACTTTTCTGGGAAATTGCTTTGACGAGTTAATTTAGTGGGTGCTGTTAAAGGCAAGCTGATGAGAGATTTTCTCCTGAGCATTGCTCTTTCTTGGACAAGAGAAAAGAGTTGTGTGGGAACATAGCAAGAAAATGTATTGGAAGCAAGGGACTGAGATTTCTTCAGTTTAGAATATTCTGTTTCCGTCAGCAATCATTAATCAGAACATGTTTGTTTTCTTTAATGCCTTGCAAAATCTAAAAGGGACATTTTCATCCAGGTTACCAGTGATAATAAAGGACGAGGTGATGGGAGCTACCAGGTTTTGAGAACACCTACAACGAGAATGGTAGAAAGATAGAAAATCTGTCACAAAGTCTCATGTAAGAGAGACAGGACATCCTTAAGCAAAGCTGACACAAAATCAAGACTTTTCAAGGCAATACCTGCAGTAAAATATAACTATTCTGACACTGTCAGTCTCTGCAAACATCTCCTGGTGCATTATTTTACACCTAGTAAAAAATTTCCACATCAGTAATATGTGATTTTTATTGCACAGTACATGTCTCAAAACCTGGCTTTAGAAATTCTTGAGGAAAAGTGAATTAGTGAATTATTCAGTGCTTTGCTTCCATAGTGCCATCTCCAAGAAAGAAATCACATGAGGGTGAGCAGCTTGGGAGAAATAAAGTTAGGAAGGGGGCCGCAGAAAAAGACTGAGATGTGAAAGCACAATTTAATAAGACAGACAAAGTCAATTTTTCTTTCTCTTTTTTCTTCTTTTTTCTTCTTTCACCCCAATAGATTTCTGTAGAAAAATGGCCAGGAAAAGAATTTGTCCATAGTTCTGAATTATCCTGAATGACAAAGGCACGCGTTGGTGTCCGGAGATGAAGCAGACAACTCATCTGAAGACTGAATACAATAAACGTAAACAGTGATAGGCTGTTTGGGGCAGAAGTAAAATGACCCCTAGAAACTTTTTTTCTTTTGCTTAAGTTGCTTCCAAAGACACATTCTGAGTACATTCTGATACTCCCTGATAGCTGCACTGAAATCAACACATTGACAGAGTGCCAGTTTTGGCATGACAAAATGCATGTATTGCTCAAAAGGCTTATCTTTAAATTTATTTAATGATTGTTTCATATGCCACATGCTGGGTAATAGTAGGAGATGGCTCCATTGCTTTTGAAACAAAATCAACTAGATTAAACAAATCCCTTTTGGCTAAGAAAAGATGAGTTCTTGAGGCTGCTATAAATACAACTGTACTTTAGCCCTGTGCTCCTACACTCATTACTTGGTGCTTTCTCCAGACTTCTGGTTGGTGGCCAGTGCTGCTTTAGCTAAATTGTTTATTGGCCACTACAACTTTTTTTAAACAATGTGGTGGGTGTAGTGTCTTTAGTGGAGATTTCCCACCTCCATAGGCTTACCCAGCTTAAGTAACTGACCACAATTGCTCATGTTTTCAAACCTGCTGGACATCATATACCTTTGGGCGGGGGGTGTGAGCCCATACTTTTCCCCATAGGTTTTAGGGACATTCCTGTGTCCTACCAAGTGTCACAATGTGTTACCAGTATAATTATTGTCTCCTCAAATGGTGCCCTGGCTCAATGTCAACCTTGACACCTCTCCTGTCAATTAAAAGTCTTGGGATTGTCTATCCTTCCATCAGCTGCCCACCGCTTCTGCTGCCTTTACTATCTGAATATCTTCTCCTGTCTTGGGTCTCACAAGACAGCACATTTTGGCAACTGCTGCAAAAATAAAAAGTTTAAGTTTGTTCTTGTAACATTTTGTCTCTGGAAAAAAACAAACAAACCAACCACGAAAATTAAGGAGGTTTTTTTCCTGACTTCGTGTCCATAGTTCACTCTGCAGAACTGGATTGTATGGTGATAGTGTCAGAGTCCACCTGTGCATAAAATCAGAGACTAGGTCCTTGTTCTCATTATTGGCCACATTTACCTAAGAGCGCTAACAACTCAGTCACCAGACTTCTCAAACTCCCTTCAGTTTTAGTAGCTTATTGACCAGGATGTTGAAGTGATCTTGCTTTTTGGAAAATAGAGTTGATAGGTTTTGGCTTTGGAAGCACCTGATGCTTTTTATATTCCTTTTCCTTCAGAGGCAACACTTGATTTCTTTCAAGGTATAATGTTTGATTCTCAAAAGGAAATTTGAGATTGTATAACATGTAATTAATGTGATTCACAAATTCACAATTTGCATTTTCCAGTTATATCTACAAAAGCCTGAGATGCTGGCTCTGTGGATGTGCTGGGAAGCATTGAATTAGCTTCTTTCCTTATAGTCTCTATAGGTGTTAGGTTTCTTATATCATATGTTGCTTGGAGAAAAAAGTATTTCAGTAGCCTTAGACCATCCTTTGAGAAAACAGATCTCTTTCCAGTTCATGAGCCGGAACAGGAAAGTTGGTCATTGCTTTGCATGCCATTACAGACCAACTGACCTGGCATTCTGTCATGCAAAGTCTCTGCTTATGGCTTAATTTTAGACCCAGCATATCAGAAAGGTTTAATATTTGTTCTTCTTTTTAACATTGGTAACTTTTTCTTTTTTTTAACATTAGTAGCTGTAAGTAAACAACACTTTACCCTGGAATAATGATGACCAAAGCATTGGACACACTTTTCTTCCTCAGATATTCTATTGTAGGTTTTTTTCTTCCAAAAAATATTTATATAGTTTTTCTCCCCCAGGCCTGATGTATATTTGTCTTCCTGTTCTACCAATATATGATAAAAGCAACATCAGGAATAATGCAGAAATTAATTAAATACTTGCTTTTTAACAATGAATTCTAAATACCATTTATAAATAAAACAGAATATACAGATTCATAAGCAGCAATGTCTCTGCTAATGGGAGATATTGTTCCATGACTGCATGCCCAGTCAGAAATTTGTAGATCCATAAACAAAGTCTGGTTGTGGGCTTGATATTCTTTTCAGTCTTACCTACCTTTTTCTGTAAAGTTGTGCCTACATTCTTGCACAACAACAGGCTGGGGAAATGTTATTTCTGTTCCTCAGGGGAGGAAAACCTTACAATGAAAAGCATGCATTAGTAATTTTTGCATGTAGCACAGCAGCTCTTAGTGTAGAATCTTCGTTGATTGCCTGTATCTTTTCCAAGTCTTTAACTTGACCTAATGCTATTTGCGAAAGGACATGGCTTTCTATGTTGTGAACTAGCTCTCAAACAACTCAGAGTCACACTTCTAGTTTTCTCCGTTTGTAAACTTGCTCCTATATCCCATGCCACATGCAGTGGCATGAACTTGTCCATAGACTTGCAGAGAAATGCTCTATGGTGCTCACTGGAGTCTCCTGAGATGCTTGTTGCCTGTTTTTGTAGTGTACATTTTAAATTAAAGTGCAAGGGTGCCTTCCACCCCCAACAGAGAGCTTGTTGAAGCCCTGGGCTGTCAAATGCAATTATTTACAAAGGATCTTAACAGGACTTGCAAGTTTTTTTTTTAATAAAATAAAAAATAAATAAACAAACCAAAACACCAACAGCAAAAAAATGACATTAGGGTCAATTGTCCTTTCTTTAAAATTGGTTTCATGGAATTAATCTCTCCCAGGGAGATTTGAGGCACTCCTGGAATTACTGCATAATCAACTCATGTCTTCTCTGAGGACTACACTACTATGAAATCAAATAATGTTGTAATCTTGATGAGAAAACCAACTTCAGTCAGCACCTTTGATCTCTAAGATTTGAGAGGGTCACTGAAAGAATTACTGTAAGCCTGATGGTCCTCTGATAAAATTGTAGCAAGCATTGACTGTGAACTCTTTCAAACTGCAACCTAAGCAAGAATGGGCCAGGGCAGACCTTAATGACAGGCCTCCAAAAAAAGACTTGCAAGACATGAGAGAGGTATTTCAGGAACTATTGCTTTTAGCAAGGGCTTTTCATAGTCATAGCACTGCAGTTTGGTTTAGTAACTGCAGAGCTAAAGGGATTACCTGTTCCACTGCTGCATATAACCGTGGCCTAGACCATTTGTGCCTTACAGCAGTCCCATGGCCTAATTTGGAAGACCTAAATGGTATCTTTTCACTCAAAACAAGACTTTCTGTGCAAAATGGGCTTTCATGGGAAGGGCATAATTCTTGTTTCCTTGGTTAGGTTTTATTTTGGTAAAAGAAAATCTTACAGAAAAACAATATAAGAGGAAATGCTCTTTTTTATTGCTTTGGTCAGTATTTGCTGTTTTCAATTTCATTTTTAATTGGTAACAACGGAGGCTGTTTTCACTGGCTTTTTTTTTTTTTTTCAATAAAAAAGAAATTCCTGTGAAAAATAATTGGTGTTTTCAACTGCCAACATATGAAAGTCCTACAAATGCTAATCCTGCAGCTAAGGCTATTAACCCATATTTTTGTACCCTAGCAAAACTGTGTTGGAATCAATGGAGCAGAGCACATTTGACAGCAAGAATGATTATAAGATCAGTGTCCAATTAGGCAAAAAGACAGCTCAAGACTGTTATGATACTGGGAACTAAAGTACTGTCTTCTTAGGTAATAGAGACAAATCACTGAAAAAGAGCCCACTTGGTTCTGTAGAAAGGTACCAAGCACCAAACACAAATTTTAGTGGATCTGGTGGAAAAAAAAAAAAAGTCTTTCTGATAAAATTTCACTGTAGATTTTTAAATTATTATCTCTAGAGAAACAAATACACCACAGCCTTTTACACTCAAGTTGATACTGGGATACGAAAAGTATTTGGTTTTCATCTCTACCAGTTTTACTGTGCATGGTAATTGCATCTTGCGCTGTACCAAGGGACACTTTTAGCTTGCCTTGCCAACTAGCTTCCACAAAGTTATGGGGAGTTTTATTTTATTATTGTGCTAGACATAGGAGAAAATTTCTATATAACGTCTGTGTTTCAGCCTCTGCCTTTTAACCATTTCTTCACAAGTGGTTAACGATAATCTGATAATTCTTTTTATTTTCTTATTTGATATTTTCCTTTGGAAAGAAAGCTCATGCCATTCACCTGTGTTTCCTTACTTCCACAAATTTCTGAACCTTTTGCCACCTCTAAAGCAAATCTGACAAAAGGCAGGGTTTTAATTTTCTGCAGATACTGTGGAAGGAGGCAACAGGTCTTGCTGGATATGGTTAAGTGAAGGTGATATGAAGATAAGCCAAAACTGCCAGTCATCAGGGTCATGTCACAGGAGGGAGCCATTATAAATAATCCAGCTATACAAAAAGCTCCAGTTACAACTTGTGTATTCTAGGGTACCAAACCCAGTCTGCTTTCAGGTACAGAGGCATTAGACCAGGCATGGGCAACTTCAGAGCCCATGGAGAGTACCACAAATGCTTACAGCATGCAATCCACAGGAAAATGTGTTGCACTCGGTTTGGGGTTGTCTTAGGTTACAGTTGAAAGAGCAAGTACCTTCCATGCACAGAGAAAAAAGAGGCCAATTTCTGAAGCTTAGAAAGTGATCTGTAATTCATTAAGGGAGC